TGAACAGAACGCTACAGGCATCAAATCGGGAGAACGTTGTGATGCAAATCGGGAGCTTGAAGGTGGAGACCAAGGAACAGGTGAAGGTGTTTTGCCAAAGCTGACACCCTATAGAACAACTGACTTGAGGACTTCCACTTCCTGTGTGTTGGTCAATCTTGCCGATCGTGGATGTGTCCCTTCATTTGAAGAGTCCTGCATTGGAAGAGTCACTTTGATCAGTCAGAGCCCCACTAAATGGACTGCATACATTGTGGTGGGTGTTGCAGAGATCACCCACATGATCGTATTGACTCTTCGTTTCAGGCGACCTTGGGTTTTATCAGGAGTCCTCATGGAACAGAAATTAGCATGGCTCTGGCCATCGCGTGTTTCAGGAGATTTGGATAGATTTGGTGGGATCATGCAGTATGGCACCGGACGTGGGGCAAGTGGCCATATGTCGATCTAGGTACGTGTTTTATTTTTCTTCTTTGCTGGAATCAATCCCAACAAGGGCCGAGGGTGATGCATGTGTTGAGATTGAGGAGGTTTCTGGAGATGTTCATGGCAGGGGAAGTGGCAGGGGCTATTTTTTGAAGTGGCTTCTCAGCTAGCAGGGGGCAAATCTTCCGCAGCTTCATCATCAACGCCTCCTCTATGTGCGCAAGCATGCTAGCTCACCTCAACTCAATGGATGTTTGCTCAAATATCACGGAAGCCCTGAAAGATAGAGTTTGTCGCTATCGTGCTTTTTAGGTGCTACTCAGGACCATTTCAGGACAGACTACGGTCGACAGAATGGACGGAATTAGCCTTTGGTGCTGATGATCAGGAGCGGCGACAGGTGTCACCGGTGAATTCAAGTGCCGTGTTTAGCCACTGCGGGAATTCTATAGAACAACGGCAGAACAATAAGGGATGATCAATGATCTTCCACTTTCTGTGTGTGGGTCAATCTGTCCAATCATGGATGTGTCCGTCCTGTCTTTTCCGTGTTGCCACTCAGGGCCATTTCAGGACAACGGTGTTCTTTTTTGATATAGCGATTCGAGGTGCTGAGGATAAGGATGTCCAGATGCAATGACATAGGTTTGGGGGTGGTGCTGAAACTTTACTGTAGATTGACGCACAGCATGTTGGTGAACTGGCAATCGGTCGAGGTGGCGGTTTCCGGTGACGAGTATGATGGATCGATGTTCGA